AAGCCTCGACTTGAAACACTGAAGAATTCCATGGGCAAAATAGTAAATGACTCAGAAAGAATCAAAAGAAGATGGAAGGAATACACATAGTCACTATACCAAAAAGAAATGTCCAATGTTCAAATAGTTCAAGAAGCAGCATATGATCAACAGCCAGTGATACTGAAGCAAGAAGTCTGTGGTGCATTGAAGGCATTGGCAGAGAACAAGGCACCAGGAATTGATGGAATACAAATTGAAATCTTTCAACAAACTGATGCAGCACTGGAGGCACTCACTCATCTATGCCAAAAAATTCAGAAGACAGTCACCTGCTCAACTGACTGGAAGAGATCCATATTTGTGCCCATTCCAAAGAGCAGTGACCCAACAGAATGCTGAAATTATGAAACAATATGATTAATATTGCATGAAAATAAATTTTTGCTAAAAATAATAAAATAATGGCTGCAACCATACATTGACAAAGAACTTCCAGAGGTTCAAAACAGATTCAGAGGAGGGCATGGAACGAGGGATATCATTGCTTACATGAGATGGATCCTGGCTGAAAGCAGAGAATATAAGAAAGATGTTCACTGTGCTTTATTAACTACGCAAAAGCTTTCAATTATGTGGATCATGACAAACTATAGACAACACTGTGGAGAATGAGTATTTCAGAAGTTAATTGTGCTCATCAAGAACCTGTACCTGAGGAACCAAGAGGTAGTTGTTTGAAAGAACAAGGGAACACCAAATGATTTAAAGTTAGAAATGTATACCAGGGCTTTAGTCTTTCACCACAATTTTTCAATCTGTATGCTGAGCAAATAATCTGAGAAGTTGGATTAGATGAAGAAAAACATGGCATCAGGATTGGAGGAAGACTCATTTAACAACCAGCGATATGCAGATGATACAACCTTGCTGGCTGAAAGTGAAGAGATCTTAAAATACTTACTGATGAAGATAAAAGACTACAGCCTTCTATATAAATTGCACCTCAATGTAAAGAAAACAAAAATCCTCACCACTGGACCAGTAAATAAATGGAGAAAAGATTGAAGTTGTCAAAGACTTCATTTTGCTTGAATTAATCATCAACATTCATGGAAGCAGCAATCAAGAGATTAAAGGATGTATTGCATTGGGCTACACAAGTCTTCTTTAATGTGTTGAAGAGCATACATGTCAGTTGGAGGACTCATGATCCAAGCCATGGTGTTTTCAATAATCTCATATGCATGTGAAAGTTGGACCATGAATAAGGAAGACTGTAGAAGAATTAATGCATTTGAGTTATGGTGTTGGAGGAGAATATTAAAAGTACCATGGACTGCCAAAAACAAACAGCCAGAGTGCTCCTTGGAAGCAGGATAGCCAGACATTGTCTCTTATACTTCGGACATATTATAAGGAGGGGCAAGTCCACGGAGAAGGATATCATGTTTGGTAAAGTGGAGAGTTAGAGAAAAAGAGGAAGACCCCCAATGAGATGGACTGCCACAAACGGGCTCACAAATAGCAATGATTGTGAGGTGGGCACGGGACCAGACAGTGTTTTGTTCTGATGTGCATAATGTCACTATGAGTCAGTACTGATTTGGTGACACCTATGTGGTGCTGTGGGTTAATGCGCCAGACTGCAAAGCAGTTTGAACTGCAAGGTTGGTGGTTCAAGCTTACCAGCTGCTCCTTGGAAACCCTATACAGGCTTGCTCTGGGTTGGGATCGACTCAAAAACACTTAACAACAACAATAACTATTAATAAATGATTAGACTGTCTTTTCTACCATATGATTCATTCTGTTGAAGTCTCATTAATATAACAAAGTGCAATCTAATAATAATTTTCAGTATTTTACAAGATAACTAAACAATAGCAGTAAACCTCACTGACTTACCATTTTCCTTCTTCATTTTCATACTGTTGTACAGTATAGCCAAACATGTCCTCCACTGGGCCACTGAAAGTCATTGAATTTTTCACATCGACGTTGAATGCTACGCAGAAGCCTAGAACAACTTTAAAAAGGAAAAGAAAGTACAGTTACACAGAGCAAAGCAAAATTCCATAGAGTTTGAATTGTGACAAGATATTCTAGAGATTACTTTTAAAAGCTATGATCTTGTTTAAAGGAGCAATGATGTTCCAACAATAAAAACAAAAAGAAATGTCTGCAATAGTAAGTTTATTACAAACTGAAATATCAACACAATGGCTTCAAAGCATGGAAGTATTAATGTTCAAACAAAATTCCATAGTAATTTACTATCTGTATCATTCCCATAACTAAAGACTTCAGAATGTGTAGGAGTTAGCAGAGGCTCATGCTTATGTATGACTCATACAGCTGCAGAGCGTTTTCCAGTAGTAAGTCCTACAAAGAACCAGAGCCCCTAAATCAATGTAAATAGTTTCATTTTCTACTGTGACTATATAGAAGGCATGTAGCCCCATTTAATGCAGTCGGGAATGCCTTGTCTGTAGGCTTTCATTTGGCTCTGCCAAGGCAACTACAGTTTCAGCTATCCTATTAGGGTGAGTTAATTAAATACATTGTGGTTAAGTGCCATCAAGTCAGTTTCAACTCATAGCAACCCTGTACAGGGTTTCCAAGGAATAGCTGGTGAGTTTGAACCACCAACCTTCAGTCCAGTGCTTATCCTACAGCACCTGCTATATTTGGTCAGGGAGTCCTGGGGTGGTGCTGTAGGATAAGCACTGGACCACAAGATCAATTTGAATCACAAGGTGATGGTTCAAACTCATCAACCGCTTCTTGGGAACCCTATACAGGCTCACTATGAGTTGGAACCAAGTCCATGGCATTTACCACCACCACCACTACGAATTTTGTATGCCCCACAAGTGATATAAATTTTGGCAGGAAAAAAAGGGTTCCTAACCTCTGACTTAAAGCCTCAAAAAAGATGCTTTTCCCTCAGTACCAAACAGCAAGCCTCCCCTCAGAGAAGGCTTCTGAAACCAGCCAGAAATTTGCTCTGCTTCCCTCCCTGAATCAAGCAATGGGTGGAAGCTTACAGCAATATATACTAAAGCCTCCGTATAATGCTGGTATTACCTCACAGTTTGCTGTTGAGATTAAATCAAAAACCTTTAAAGGACACATTCAACACCTGGCACATAACAAGATATTCAGTGACTGTTAATTTTCAATTTCTTCAGAATCCAGGTAATGGGAACCCTTTATAAGGAAGACTATCTCCTAAATGGGGTCTGGAATTGTCAAATGAATAGTATCATATTCCACCTTTGTTAATGTTTTTATAGTCTAATTGTCAGATTCCTAAGTTTTTCTTCCTAATAATTCTTCCCAAAGGGGATTTAAAAAAATTATAATAAATTAAAAAAAAAAAAAAAAAAGCACAGAGCACCATAAGGTACATTCAGATATGATTAAGTTCTATTTACTTCATTAAAATTATCAAATAGCCACATGCATCCTGAAACAATCCCTTTGCACCAATAAAGAAACAGCTTCTGATTGGATTAATTACTCTAATCTCTAACATCATGTACTGAAATCAAACCACTGCCATGTGTCAGTTTTGATTCATGATGACCTCACCTGTCTTAGTGCAGAACTCTTCCATAAAAGTAGTCTAAATTTAGATAGCTGTAATTAATTATCTTTAAATTTTGGTCATAGTATTAAGTGTGTATTTGCTACACAAGAATGCATATAACTACTATATTCCTCAAGGACATAAACAAGAAAGATATTTATGTGTAATCATTTATAAAGTATTTCTCAGTCTCCCCTACTTGTAGGTAATGCCCTTCCTAAAATTAAAGCAAAACAAAAAAAAAAACCTTTCATGGAGATAAGTATCATAGACTGCCTACATTTTAGTTACCTGTGGCAGTTGTTTTTCTTGGATTGAAGGATTCTAAAAGTCCTGGACACTCTGACTCATCTTTATAAGCCCTTGTCAAAATCTAGCTCAGTTTCCTGCCCAATAGAAGGACAGTAATCTATATTGAGAATGAAAGATTTAATGTGTTGAAGGAGAAAGTATGCCAGTAGTAATTAAAGATGAACTGGAAACTACTTCATCTGAGTTAATACTTTGGGAGATGGAAATTTTAAAGTTAGATTTTTAAGGGAAAGGGAAAGATGCAACTTGGCAAGGAGAAGAAAATGGCTTCCAAAAATGTGTTTGGGGTTGAGGGAGGTCTTTGCAATCAGTAAGACATAGGACAGGAGAAATATGGTTATAAGATTGTAGAGATTTGTCTGGCTGGCCTGGAAGATGTAGATGGGTAGCAAAGGGCCATTTATGTGCATTTCCTGTTCATTCTCTAACGGTGATGGAGAACAGCTGGTTACCATCTTCTGCATAATAACCTTTCATATACCCCATGACCATTTTAAATACTGCACATTCCCTACTCTAAATTAAATAGTACATGTGCCTATCCTTTTCTCACAGGTTTTATTTGCTTTTGAGTACTTCCAACAGACTATTTTGGATACAAGAAATGCATACAATGAGACTTCGATTGTGGGGTTTCCTAACCTTGGCATTATTAATATTTTGTGTCAGAAAATTCTACATTATTCAGGGTTGTCCTGTGTATTGTAGGGTGTTGAATAAGCACCCCTGTCCACTAGCCATCAGATGTCAGTGGCAACACTGGTTTGTGACCATCAAAATGGCTCCAGACATTGCCAAATTTCCTGTAGGTCAAAATTACATCCAACTGAGAGTCACCATAGATTTTTAAAAAAAACAGAACAAAAATACCTAATATTTTTTGATTAAGGTGACTGGAAACTGGCTGTGAGCCACAACTTAGAAGCATTCAAATCTCCTGGGAGATTGTAATGGATGCAGAATCTCAGGCTCCAATGAATCTAGGTGCAATCTAATAAGTGATAAAAGAAAAGAACAGAAAAAAACCAAAAAACTCTTGTCTTCAATTCAAGTTCAATTCATGGAGATTCCATAGAGTTTTCCAGAAGATCACTAGGCCTTCCTTCAATGGGGTACTGCTATTTAGACTCAAACCTCCCACAAACATTGAGGTTAGCAGCATAGCACAAAAGGCTTTTGCCACCCAGAGATCAGAGAGCAGCAAGTTAACTAGGGAAGTCATATTCCTCAGTTTGAGAATTACACGTCTGTACACATGGCACACCTTTTTCAGAATGTTAGTGCAGGTAACAACAACTAGTGCAGGTAACAAGCACTCACTCTCTTTAAGACTAAGGGCTAATTTCACACCCATGGAAGTAAGATTCAATACAGGACCAAAAACTTTTGGTTTCCTTTTGGGGCCTGTTTGTTTATTCTACATGTTATGTGGAATGTCCGGGGGTGTGTGCTCTACTTTTTTTTTTTTTTTTTTTCCAGTTCCTATTTTTTCAGTTCCTATTTATTTTTTTCAGTTCCTATAAATTCCACAGGCAATTTGCCTGAAGTGATTGTAAATTAGCCTCTTTCATGTTCTCTAAGGCACCAAGGAGCCTGAAGTCCAGGAGATGACATGTAAAAATAGTTTATATCTCACTCTTGATTTCAAGGAGTGCATAAACAGTCAAGCAGCTTCTCATAACTTTTAGTTCAATGTTCATTTGGTTGAACTAAATTGTCTTGGTACTTAATGTACCAGAAGTAAAGCAAAATCATATTTATTATCAATCAGATCCGAAAATAAAACAGACAGACTGAGGAAACTTAAGGGATGTTGTTGTTGTTTTTAAGTGCCGTCAAATCGATTCTGACCCATAGTGACCATGTATAGGGTTTCCAAGTAGCAGCTAATGAGTTTGAACCACCAACCTTGCAGTTCAAATGACTTTGCAGTCTGATGCATTAGCCCACAGCGCCACACCAGGACTCTGGTTTAAGGGATAAGATTATACAAATACTGAAGATGATTGAAATAAAATATGGACAACTGTCAGATGTCAAAACTAAATTTTAATTTCACATGTACCAGCCAGGAATCTCTGGGTGGTACAAATGATTAAGTACTGGATTACTAACTAAAATGTTGGCGGTTCAGTTTCACCCAGAGGTACTTGAGAAGCAACGCCTGGCTACCTGCTTCTCTGAAAACCTTATGGAACATTTTTGCTCTATATATCTGGAGTCAGTATGATTAAGAATGGACTTGACAACAACTAACAGCAACAGCAAAGGAGAGAAGAAGACATAGTTTCCCTGGGGTGCTGTGGGTTAATGCACTGGATAGCAAAGCCGGTTTGAACTGCAAGGTTGGCGGTTCAAGCTCACCAGCCACTCCTTGGAAACCCTACATAGGGTCCTATGGGTCGGAACCGACTTTACGGCACTTAACAACAACAACATCTAGGTGCTGAAGTAATGGTATAGTGATGTAAGATAAGCGCTGCAAGGTCAGCAGTTCAAATCCACTGTCCACACCTCAGAAACCTTATGCAGGGTTGCTATGAATTAGAACCAATTTGATGGCACCTAATACCAACCTATTGTATACTTGCAGTCAGTCATCCCTTGGAATCCTTGGAAAACTGGCTCCAGAATCCCTGCAAATACCTCTCTAACTTGTATACATCCTTCCATATATTTTAAATCATCTCTAAATTACTTATAATACCTAACACAATTTAAATGTTATATAAATAGTACTTTAAGCTTCCTCTCGGCCTTTGAGGAATTGTTTTGACACTTAATTGTCCTTTGTTTTTCCTTAAATACTTTCAGTGATTAGCTGAACCTATGCATGTGCAACCCTCAGATCCAGAGAGCTGACTGTAATGTGTTTTAGTCCTTATATCCTTTATCTCATTGAATCTACCAAAAATTCTAGAACCAAATAGCATTATTATGTCCATTGTGCAAAGAGAAGACAGTGGCTCAGAATCATGAAGCCATTTGTTCATGCTCCCCCAAAGATATCCAAATCCCAAATATTAACCACCATTTACAATAACTTTATTTCTACATATTAGCCCTAAAACTGGAAAAGGCGAGTGAAGACGAGATGAGAATAGGTTTAGAAGAGAGGTCACTGATTAGTCCAGGGGATTGCTGAGAGGCTTTTCTATAGTGAAGATGGGCTGGAAAGATTGTGGGCAAGGACAGGGAAGGTTATGAACATGAGCTCCAGATCTAGCTTCAGAAGGGACTTCCAGTAAAACATGGAGGTCTACATAGAAATACAGAGACAAACTCCTCTTCAAATATGGTTGTTGTCGTACGTGCCTTCGAGTCGCTTCCAACTCATAGCAATTCTGTATATGTATAGGGTTTCTGAGGAGAGGCTGGTAGATTTGAACTGCCACTTTGCAGTTCAAATTGATTTTGATGTCCACTGCTTATCCTACAGCACCACATCAGGACTCCAATATGGTTACATATGTTAAATATCTAAGGTCTTAAAAGCAGAAGAAAATCACTTGTAAAAGAGAACATCTTGTGCAATTTCTTTATCCTAGGATGGAATTTGATGCATCAAACACTGAGCAAAGAGAAAATGAAAGAAATAACCTACAGCCCTGTAGTGTTTGCTGCCCACACACATTTTCTACAAATACATAATCATACTGAGCTTAGAAAAGGCGGATGTTATTGTCCTCTTTTTGTGTATGTTGAGTTAGAAAAGGCGGATGTTATTGTCCTCTTTTTGTGTATGTTGTTGTTAAGTGCCATGGAGTCGGTTCGGATGCATAGTGACCCTGTATAGGGTTTCCAAGGAGTGATTGGTGAGATTGAACCACCAACCTTGTAACTCAAATAGCTTTGCAGTCTGGTGCATTAACCCACAGCGCCACACCAATTGAAACTCAGAGAGTAGAAGTGATTTGTCCAATGTCAGGTTGAGTTAGCAGCAGAAGCAGGACTTAAACATTGATTTTTTTTCTTTTTTTTAATCAAATCATAGACTTTGTATGACTTCAGTGCTTTGAGCTGACTAGATTAATAAAATAAAAACCCAGTTAAACACACCCTCAACTAGTCCATGAGACGTGTTTGTCAACTCATGATTTGGAGTATATGAAAGTAGAACAATACAGAGACTCTGAATGAAGATTGTGGACATCTTCAGAGGTGACTGCTGCTCTGGACAAAGGAAAGAGTCTCTCCTCCACACTCCTCTAAGCACTAAAAAGTCATTGCAGTCTGTTTAGTTGTTTGGGGTTCTTATTGAAGAAAACTTGTCTATGATAATAAGGTAAGGCAAAAATTTTGATCTAGTAGCAAATTGTAGAACTCAATCACCAAATTCTGAATATTGTAAGTTTTAAGCATAAGGTAAGTGGGTATCAAATAAATAAATGGTAACAAGTAAGACCTTAAAATGTTACTGACTTTTCTTTCAATAGATTGCTACATAGGTTTATACAATCTAGAAATAAGTAGAAATTTGGACATGAAATTCACATTGTTTTAATACAAGGAAATTATACAAAACTAAGATAGGAAACTA